AGCCCCGTCCCCACCCCAGCACAGAGCCCCCCCTGCCCCTCCAACTCTTACAGTGGAAGTCGTGGTAGAACTTCAAGGGCGGCATGTTCCTCTCCACTGTCGCGTCCCCCCAGGGCAGCCCCAGCTTCAGGACCTGGCGGCGCCGGGAGCAGGCCTGGCCACACTGCTCTGCTCCGATCAGCCGGCCCGAGAGCTGCCAGTTCCGGATCTCAAAGAGGTAGCGAGGATAGTCGCGGATCCGCACTGCGGGGCAGAGGAAGGGCTGAGAGATGAGGCAGCAAAGGGACACTGCCCTGTTCCCCCACTCTGGGCCACGGCAGGTGCCACTGCCCTGTCACACCTCTGCTCCCTTTCCACTCCCTTGAACCTCCAAAAATCACTTCCCCTGCTTGGTTACACATCGCGTGGTGCCAGCAGGTCCCTGTCGTGGGAGCCCAGGCCATGCAGCCACTGTGCTGTCCTCCATGGGCACCCTCACGCGAAGCAACTCACCAAAGAAGCTGCCAACTCTGCCCTTCATCATGCGGCACCACTGGGTGACCATCTCCAGACCCTCGGGGGGGAATGGGCTGACACCATCCAGGTCCCTCATCTGCTCCAACACACGCTCCGTGCCATGGAAGGACTCATCGGCCATGGCCACCAGCTCCAGGTGGGCCAGAGTCCAGGTGAGGAGGGCCCTCCGCATGGGCGTGTTGGCATAGAGGCGCCGCGAGCGCTGGATGTAGATCTCTATGTTCTTCTTCTCCAGTGAGGCATAGAGCTCCTCGATCTTGCGGGCAGGCAGCAGCTCGCCATGCTGCTTGCGCAGCGCAGCCACCTTAGCGTCCAGCAGCTGCAAGCGCTTGGCGCTCTCCTTGCTCTCGTCCTTCATCAGCTCATAGTTGTCTCGTAACTTGACCTCAAAGACGTCGTCCAGGAAGACCCAGGAGAAGTGTGTCACTTTGAGCAGGAGGTCGGGGGGCAGTGCCGTGCTGGCAGGGCGCCCGCGCCGGTGCAGACCTTTCAGCCACTTCTGCACGCCCACGGCAGCATCCAGCGTACGAGAGAAGTCATACTGGTAGGGGAACTCGATGGTCACGCTGGCAAAGGAGAAGGCCCAGCCACGATTGCGGAGGGTGCGCAGGGTGGGGAAGGCGCAGCGATGCAAGATGACCTCCTCCAGCTCTGGCAGCAGCTTCACCTCCACCTCCTTGAAGCTGAAGATGCTGTGTCCATCAAAGCCGGCGGCCAGCTCGGGGCAGTAGCTGTGCAGGGAACCGCCGTGCCAGCTCACGGAGGTCCTTTCGGCAGCCAGGCTGATGTAGTTGGCTTCAGAGACAAAGGCTGTGAGCTTGGCAGAGCTCAGCTCCAGTGACAAGGACAGGAGTCTTTTGGGGGGGGTCCCATCTGGCTGGAGGGGTGCCAGTGTCTCAGTAGGGGTGGCCGGGTGGGACGCTGGGCTCTCTGGGGGCAGGGAATGAGGCGTCCTGTGGCCAAGGGCGCTCTGCAAGGCTTCGTGGCACTGCAGGGTGGCCAGGGTGTGATGGTACAAGTGCATGTGGTCAGGCGGGCTCCACAGCACCGCCAGCCCCTCGCCGCACTGCACCTACAGCGGAGAGAGCGAGCAGGCACCAAGTCACTGCCAGGTACAACTGGCACAGCCCCATTCTCCTCTCCAGCACCTTTCGGTGCCAGCCAATCCTCCCCCTGCCCCATCCATCCCAGTACCACCAGTACAGGATAAAGCAGAGACCCGAGGCCCACACGAACCTCCAGGGAGCGGATACTGCTGTGGTAGGAGACGCA